CCAGCCACTCTGTCCCCAGCATATAGCATTGCATGGAATTGTTATGGCCAAAGTGCATGTTACAGTTAGGATTGAAAGAGGAAACCTTAACTCATGCCAGCCAGGACTGCAAGTGGCTTTTAATTGATGTGGGTGTCACCAGAGGGGTCACAAAGTGAAGAGGCATAAAGCCTGTCCTGCTGTCCTTTGTCCTGCACGGTAGAGATGAGCCATGCTTCAACATATGTGACTGTTAGGTGTGTAAGCAGGAAGCTGCATTTTCAGAGTTATCAATCAGCACTGAACTAACTTTAACAATAATAAAACCCCAAAATAACCTGTGCCTGCTCATAAATAGGCAGTGAGTGTGAGATATCTGTGAGAAAGCACCGTGCTCCACATTTACGTTTACACTGTCGTGTCAGTGGATGTATTTCGTCCCAAGACACCACTGTCTGAAGTTATTTGTAGTCTCCTTGCGGGATACCTTGGAGTTTTAAACTAATGGAGAATATGCTTTATGGCTTCAGAGCTCCTGTCATTAAGGCAGCGTCGCTCACTGACTTCCGTGAAGTATCGCTCATTGTCGGAGGTGTAAGAGAGAAGAATTGTGCCCCACGCTCTAAATTTCAGTGTCAGGAATCTTAAAAATGATTTTGTCACTCACAAGAGCTGCCACATTCTCACAGATGAGAGAAACGTCATGCTCCATAATCCTTAATCTATTCCATTTTTACAACACACTTGGTTTATATTACTCATTTTAACCATACTGATGATTTAAATGCACTTTTACTTTTAAGAAGTAGTATTATTCATTGCTGCTAATCCCAAAGGAGCTGGAGAGCTCTTGGTGGCTGTGCAGTAATGCATCAGAAGGTGGGTAATTATTTGTTATAAAAATGCTCTTAGAGATGTTTCTTTGATTTGTATGTTGGTCTGATGGTGTCCCATGAATTCAGATGGGCTGCTGGAGCAGTGTCGTGTTATAGCACTAGCAGGTTGTTGTTTGAGGGCTAGAGGAACTAAAAGCCTTTCTCCACTGCACAGTGTGCCTGAGTTTGTGATAGTGCTGCAGCTTGTCCATTCTTGATTTGATTCACATTTGGACATTACTGCCTGGACTCTGCCTATGCATCATTGAATTGCTAAAAACCAGGGGCTGTAGCACGAAAGCTGAGCTTGGGCTACATCTTTGAGGTGCTTGTTCTGTGTAAATTATGAAAAGCAGAGGCTAAGAGTTTACACAGACAGGAAATTGACTCAGGCTTCCTAGAAACAAGTGCATCACTATCACTGTGCAGTTCAAAGTCCAGAGAAAAGTGATAGGCCATTCAGAGCTCTTTCTTTGCAGGGCTGCAAGAAGTGGCAGTAAAAAGCACAAGGCCTAAGTCAGAAGGCCACGTACAACAGGCACTTCCCCTTGGTGGTGTGACTGCTTCTCTCCACCAGCTATGTGCACTTTAGAGATTAATGGAAATGCTGACTTAAATACTACAGTATGGGTACTGTTGAAGAAAAATGAGCTCCACATCTGTCTTCAACACTGCCTTGCAGACAGCTGTGCTGGCACAACTGGGGCAGTGATCCTCAGCATGTTTTCTTCTAACTGGTGTTGAACTGGACAGGTCTCCCTCCATTGACCAGTCATATGTTTGATGTGTAATACAGCAGGCTTTGTTTGAACCTGAACCAATAAAGAGGCTGTGTAATGCTCTAGCTGCTGCTCTGAAACACAAGTTATGTTGCTTGTGAAATCCAAGCAGGATTTAGAGTGCAAAACATCTAAGCAATCCAGATAAGAACTCAGCAATCTACTACTAGAGACTTCTAGAGCCCTCCATCCTTTTCAAGATTGTACTGCCAAGGGGAGTGAAGTCATTAACTGGGAGAATCCAGCCATGGGCAGATGGAACCAGGAAAGTTAAATTTTCATCAGCACAAGCGATCTGGGTAGAGTTCAGCTGCATACAGAGGACAGTGCATGTGTCTCACACACCAGTTTCAGGCTGTGCAAGTATTAAAGACTGCAGTTTTAGGCACTAGTGACAAACAGAAATAACTCAAGTCCTGAGCACAAGGAGAGTGTGCCATAGTGTATTTCCATTTCCTAAGGCTGACACCTTTTATGTCACAAGTTAGCTAATGTATTTCTTCTCTGCAGGCTGGGTTTATTGGTTTGCTTTTATGATGACCTGGAACAGATGGATGCAGCTGTGGCCCGAGCTTTGCTTCATCAAATGATTAAATGCAATCAACTGAGAGGTTTCCAGGCAGAGGTTCACAAGGTGGGTACAGTGGGTACAGTGCTTGTTCTTCTTACCTAATCCCATAAACACATAAGGAGAGACGTCTGTCTTAAATAAGGAAAGAAATGAGTGAAAAATTGCTGGGATCTAAGAAATAAGGGGAAATAGCTCTTGAGAATGCAAAGAATAGAAGCCTATTTTGGGTGCTCATTTTTTTCTCAGTCTCTTTCCTCCTGTTCCATATTCCTTTCACAACTGTGGTTCTATTTTTGAAATTTTATGAAGTGTGTGATGATGGAGTATTTGCCAATGTCTATTCCAGAGACTCCAGTTAATGTTTTGGGTGATAATGGAAATTGGTTTTGGCAGATCTTTCTTTCCCATCTGCTCTTTTTGTTTGATTTAGCTCAAATCTCAACTCCTGAACATTGCCACACAAAACCAGACATTGAACGACACCCTCGGATCTCTGTCAGATGCTGTGGTTGGACTAACTTCAAGTCAGCTGGAATCTCTGTCACCTGAAGCAGTACATAATGCTATTGCAACACTAAACCAAGTCTCTGGGTGGGCAAAAAGCCAAGTTATGATTTTATCCAGTAAATACCTCTCTGGTGAAAAGGTACCTCTGATAACAGCTTTCTTACCTCTGTTTTTAAAAGGGAAATGGCTTTTTCTCAATGATAACCATAGATATTGAGAAATTTGGTCCAAGACTTCTGTTTAGTTAGTGATCTGAAAAATGTGTTTAAATCAGATGAAAACATCTAAGACTGTACCTCCCAAAGTCATTCTCTGGTAACAGAGGGAATGTATATTTGGGAGCTATATATATTGTTTTTTCAGTGTCACTGCCCTAAGCAGAATTTGCATGACCAGAGATCCCAGATTGTATACTGAAATACAGAGTAATGGGAGGAATCAGGGTCCTTGCTGAAGTTTCAGTCGAAGAAACTTCTGAGAAACTTCGTATATTTGTTCCCTGACCAAAGGGATATTCCATCCCATAACACATCATGCTCAGTATATAAGGTGGGAAGAAGAAGGAGGAAGGAGGAACATCTGGAGTGATGGTGTTTGTCTTCCCAAGGAACCATTACTGGTGATGGGCCCTGCTCTCCTGGAGATGCTGAACACCTCCTGCCCATGGGAAGCTCTGAATTAATTCCTTGTTTTGCTTTGCTTGTGTGTGCAGCTTTTGCTTTCCCTGTTAAACTGTCTTTATCTCAACCCATGAGTTTTTCTAGCTTTTACCCTACTGATTCTCTCCCCCATCCCGTTGGTGGGAGGGTGTGTGAGTGGCTGTGTGGTTCTTGGTTGCTAGCTGGGGTTAAACCATGACAACAGAACATAAAGTGCCTCCCTAGACAAGAAGTGTATAAAGTACTCAGCAATAATAGCTTTGATTTATTTATTGACTTTTACTTTTAAATATATCTGCTGTTCCCAAGCCAGAAAACTTCCTGTTTGTTTGTGCTGTTATCTCTGCAGGTTTTATCATTTTATAACGTCAGTCAGATGGGTGTGTTGGTAACTGGTATCAGCACCCAGACATTCTACAGCATGAACCCAAGGGAGCTCTCTCAGATCATTCGGGGCACAACATCCCACTACTTGTCTGACTTATCACCTGCACAGCAACAAGGGATCCTCAGGAAGGTGATTACAAACTCCAGTGTGTAGCAGGTTCTCTCTGCACAAGAACACAATAACCAGGTGTGCAGAGCATGATTTAAAACGTTGTCGCCGAGATTTGTGCTTTAGCTCAATGGTTAATATTTCTAATTTTTTTTTTTCTGCACACCAAGTATATTTTTAACTCTCTTTCTTGCTTATTTCCGTTGCATTTTTAATACTGACATGTTTTTCCTTTATCCTCTTAAGGGAAATATTACACAGAATAGAAAGAAGGGTAAATCCTGTAAATCTGAGCATCAGTTCTGAAATGCCATGTATTTCTGTGTTCCTCTTTTTAGATAGCTGCATCTGGAGATTTTTCTTCCTCAGTCAAAGATATACAAGGAGCTTTCTTTAAAGAACTATCTCTTCCTGGTTTATGGAAGCAGACTGGATATAATTCTTCAATGATGAAAGAGAAAGAACTAAGAAGGAGCCAGGTAAAATCATTACGCAGTTCCCATTCCACTGCAGTTTAGTATAATGGAAGAACTGGAAAAATAAAAAAAACCCAGCACATATTGGTGTTCAAGAAACATAGATAAAGGGAAGGAACTGCCCCAAATATATCTAGACATAACCAACCAGAGGATATTGGAGCCTAGGCAGCATTATGAGACAATGCTATGGACAAGGAAGCATTAATATGCTGAATTTAAGTCCCCAAGATTCTGCCACATCAATTTTCTCTTTCTAGTACTTTATACTAGACATTTGCAGGTACAGTCAGTCCTTTGACTCTGTCCAGGGAGATGAAAGGTTGGATCAGATCATCTCCAGAGGTCCCTTCAAACCTAAGTTACTTGGTAGTTATGGACCATGGACAGGTTTAACATCATCCCATAATGCCAGTTAGCAATGTCTTGTCTTGTGAAGAAGAAATTCAGCACAGGATGAACCAAGTTTTTGGTTGGCCAAGGGGGATCATAGAAATGCCTTAAGAGTACTTAAGAGAGCTAAATGTGCAAACACCTTGAGGTAGATAATGAATTGTATATTGTAATACACCTGGATTAACTAAACTTAACTCTAAATATGGTGAGTTTTATTTCAGGCTTTGTACCTGTATGAATTACTGTCTCAGAAAAACTATCCCGATGACCTTCTAAGGTATGGGTTGTAGTCTGTTTTTAAATGGGGTTTAAGACTAGTATTGTGATGAGAGAAACTTTGAGGTAAACAATGTGTGGTTATTTTGTACTATCTTAAGCTTATTCATTCCTGAATACCACAGGATAAATCACCTTCCTCATGAAAAAGGAAACCAGGAACAAAGCAGGGGTTTGGGTATTTTAAGGCTCAGTTTGGTTTTCGATTTGTTTGCATTTTTATTTTCAGTAGCCTTTCAATTGCAAGAAATGGGAAAGAGAGGTAGTCAAGAAACTGTATCCAATCTTAGGATATGGGTGTGGGGAGTAAGGACTGGATCCTGCTTAAATATTCAAAAGATTGAAATTTGCTTTCCCTATCAGCACAGGACAGCTTGTGAGAGGAGTAACTTGTCAACTCATTGAAAGTATGGGCACAGACATATTTTTAAACAGCTTTAAATTCTTTGAAATGAATCTTCATCTGCTTTCTCCATATCAGGTAAAACCCAAACCAGACTTTGTGTCCATAATTACTGCCCAATATCCAAACTGTAGGTAAATTAAAATGTGGTTAACTCTGTTTTCTTTTTTTGTTTTCTCAAAATCTTGTGACAAAATTTAGCATATTTTATCGAAGTCTTTTATGTGTGAATTTGTCTGTTATCAGGCTTCATTTTGACAATTTCACTTGTCACTTACAAATTGCAAGAAATTCCTACAGTCCTTCTGACTTGTTAATTCGTGAGTAATCCATTTGGAAATACATAGAAGTTTCAAAAACATACAAATCCTCTCATGCACCCAAATATAGGATGTTTCATCTCTGATGTCTACAAAAGAAAACTCTAAAACAAGCCACAGAAAATTGCTCTCTGAAGATAACATGCAGAGTTTTATATGTGCTAATTTATATGTGCTGCAATAAGCAAGTCATATTTTTATTCTTCCTCAAAATTGCCAGATGTTTAAGATCCTAAATTTTTGTTGCTTTTAGGTTAATTGTTTGGCTTGGAAGTTTTGGAAAGTCTCCAATGCATCTATTCCTCCCTTCCTCTTACTGGTGCTTCCGTGAGTTACATCTTACTGTATCTTAAGTTCTGAGAACTTCTTAAATAATCTCTTCAGTCTTAGGAAAACTGATGATTCAAACAAATGGCAATTTATCAAAAGTGACTGCTGCCTGTAGGCATCAAATGAAAGCTGGTAATATATAGTGTCTTTTAGGATAGCCTATTTTTGTCACAATTGTGGACTTTTTTTCCACCTAAGTTGTGAGACTTGGTTTGCATATTTGTTTAGGGGCTTTTTGGGAGTGGATATGTAAGGCAAAACCATTGGGGACTGCTGAAACATATTGCTCTGTATGGTTACAAACAGTGGGTTTTAAGACATTTTTGTAAGTTAGCAAAACTTTTCAGTAACAGCTCTTTTCCTTAGAAAACAAAAATTGTACGTTTACAAGAAAATTGTAACACTTGTTAACTCGTCCTTTTCTTTCTTTCTATGTGCTTAAAGGGATAAAAAAGAATGAGAGCTATTCATTTCTTGGAATATTTTTAACTGAAAAAAGTAAGAAAATAGAAGTATTCTGTTTGCAAAGACAGTAATATAATAATAGAAGCACTTTAATACAAGGCTTTCTACAAACTGCAGCACCAAGTTGTTTGGCCAACAATTGCATGTGGCTTGCTCAGGGCTGTCAGAAGTCACTGGTGCTGCTGCTTACAGACCTGGTAAGACTGTGCAGCTGTGGGCTCTGGCTTTATTTGCACAGGCTGCTTGCCATGCTGGGTGAAAAGGATCATCATTTTGTTTAATTTGGCAGGTTTTTTGTACTTTGATAAAAAGAAAGCCTACTATAAAGCTCCTTGTTGTCTTTAGCCCACCCTCCACATCTTCATTCATCAAAGAATTATTCCTAATGAAAAGGAGAAAGGGGAAGGTTTCTGAACTGTAGACAGTCTTGTTTCATGTGATGTTAAAGCATCTGGGAGCACTTTCATCCACTTGCAGCTATTTATAACTCTTAGCCATTTTTTGAAGTTTGGTTCATGTGCTGATGAACTGGAAGAAGATGGACATTAAAGTAAGTGTGGATGAACTGCAATTTTTCTGGCCTGTCTGGTTTATAATTTTGCAAGTCCAGCCTTGTGTCTTAATATTTCCCTCATCGCATATTTTATGGGGATGGTTTTGGGTGTATGAAGGTCAGGTTTCCATTCTGAGACCATTTGAATTCTTTCTGCAGTTCTGAGTACCTGGAGTATGTTTCAGGCCCTTTGTGTGTCCCTTTCATTGAAAGTCTGGGGAAGACTGAAATGGACCTTTTGATTCCAAGCCATCACAAAAGGAACGCTGTCCTGCACAAAGTACAGGAGTGCTTGGTGGGTATGGCTGGGGAGGGGTCAGCAGTGGAGAGGGAGCTGCAGAACAAGTCTCTCCCTTTATTGTCATGTGATGCATCATGAAGTTGTCCTCCCTACTTGTACCCTCTGGTCTGCATGCACATGCTCATGGTCTCCTGTGCACAGAGAGCAACCTGAGACACAGGCTCTCCTGCTCTGTGCAGTGAAACCACTGCTGATGGGCTCTGAGCTGAGGCTATCACCTAGCTCAGAGGAGTTCTTAGTGCCAAGGCCCCAGGCAACCTGCTGTAGCTGACCTGCTTTGAGCAGGGGGTGGCCTGGGTGATCTCTAGAGGTCCCTTCCAAACTCAGCCATTCTGTGGTTCTGTCTGCATGTACCACAGAGGTGTCAGTCACCATCTAGATAGGTTTCTGACTTACCCACCTGTATTCTTTTGAGGTTTTTTTCACATACTGTTTCAATTTTATTGTTCACTGCTTAAGTAAACCTTTTTTATAGCTTCCTTAACAACTTTCCTTGACTCCATGCATGTTACAAAGTGTTCCTATGAACAGAGAACTGGCCAGGACAGCCTGGAGCTGACCCATTAGCACCTGGAGCTGTTCCTCTGGCTCCAAGCAGTGCCAGTCCTGCAGAGCTGTGCATGGCACAGGAAGCTCCACGGGAGAGGTGGTGCTACCAGGAGGATTTGTGACTTGTGCTGTCTCAGAGCTGCAGTACTCACCAGTTTTTAGGGGAAACTAGTTCTTTGATGTAGCTGTGGCTATTCCTGCCCTTACACATACTACCAGCTGTATAATCCCTAGTGTTTTGGCAGCTGCTTGAAAAAGCCCTCAGAGCTCAGCTTTCTGCAGCAAGAGCTTGTGGCCTTTTTGCTGCAAGGGCCAGGTGAGGGCTGTGCTGCTAGGCAGAACTGCACCACCTCTGCAGGTCTTGGGTGGTCATACTTTTTGTGTGAGTTCAGTATGGAATAAAGGATACATTGGAAGCTCTGAGAGGTACTTACTAAATATCACCAGCTGCATTGGTAAAAGCAAAAAATATAAAGCAATCTCGGCAGAAATTGTAGATTAAGTTGCCAGTGCAAACTGTTGTGTCTTTGTTCCTTAAAGGGTCATAGAGCTTAAATGAGTTGTGATGCAGCTGAGTGATACAGGGCAAAAGCCAAGGTTAGCTCTGCCAACAAGGTAAATGCTTCTTGTTTCAGAATGGCTCCATTGCTGATGAATATGATGTTGACCTACTTGGAAATCTAATCTGCCACTTACCTCCAGCTTTTCTACATAGCAGAGTGTCCCTGAAGGCAATGGAAACAGCCCTTCATCAATTCAAACTCTGCCAACAGCTCAGCCATGAGCAGAAGACTGAAATTAAATACAAAGTCCTTGAGTTATATGGGTAAGGTATTAGATATACCACTTTGCTCATGCTGATGGTTAGACCATGCAAATACCAACCATTGGCTTTGCCCAGGTGAACTGCAGTGAAAACAGCACAAAGCAGCTTCTGTCACCAGCCAAAAGCTTGGGGTCTTGTCCACCAGAATGACATTTCTGCTCTTGTTTGTAACATGATCACTGTGGAACAGAATCCACTCCGAGGGGCACCCTGCATGACTAAAGTCCCAGAGGACTTAGTTTGAGGAGGGGCAGGCAAACAGACTCACTGGCCTGGCAAGAGAAAGGGTGCTACAGGCAGAGAATGGCACAGGAATGCAAAGAATGAGAAGATGGAAGTGGGATACTAGGTGTGTAAGAAGACTGCAAGCACCTGTGGCAGTAGGAGAAACTAGAGAAGAAGCAGAGGGATAGAAAGTTCAAGCACCTGAAGCAACAAAGCAGGGAGTGTGTTGGGTGTCACTAATGACTCAGATTAGGAGGGTGATTGGAGCCACTCTGGGGATCAGTCACCCAAAAGTCAAAGCCATCCTCTATCTGGAAGGATATACAGTTTCTCCCTTCCATTGTCTCTCAGAAGTATCTTGCATATGAAAAGAGAGAGTTAATGCATAGTTTCTAACCATCCCTTCAGACCCAAAGTCTGTCTCTTGATCCATCTAATCGTGTTAGATGCTTGTTCAGCATTTTTCTGGTGATAGAATAGCTGTATTTTCCACCAGATCTCATCCCTGCATTGATCTTGATACAAATCAATTTTATTGACTCATGGCACACTGTGCTAAGTAAGATTTTATTTTACTTTATTTTACTTTGAAAATATTTATCTAGTAAAATATCCTCATAGTGGAGCAACAAAGCAAAGAAAGTTTTCTGTGGGAACATGAACTGCTAACAGATTTACTACTCTCTGCTCCAGGCTCTTTCAGGCTGAAAATTACATATCCAAGGGCTTTATTAACTCACCCACCAAGTGGGTTGACTAACATTTGTCAGGTTTGTGTGACATTTCTACTTCTCTTCTGATAGCATTTTGCACACTACTGCTGCAGTATGAACCTGACAGAAAATGGTAAATTTTCTTTTAAAAAAAGAATGTTTTCTCCTAGCTGGAACACTGTATTGCAGAGAATACTCTGACTATTGAGGGGCAGCTCCATTACTGCCATGTCTGAAGGCTTTGTCTGAGTATATTGAGAGTTCCACTAATGACCACAGCACAGGGAGATGAGAAAATGAAATCTGATGCTAATAACAATGAATCATCACGTTGGCATAGAAGTGTCTGTGCTTCCTATATGATGAAGTATAATAAAAACCTTGAAGTCTTATAATTTTGATTGTAAACATTCTTCATTAGTATAATTTTTCAAAATATTTCTTCAGCTCCTCAAACAACTGGACAGCAGAAACAACATTAGATGTTGGACCATTCATAGCTCTGCTGACAAAAGAGGAATTAAATATCCTTGCTGAAAAGGTATGCTTTTATTAAAGCTTTTAAATTGGTAAAGGTATATTAGATTTTGGATTTGTGGATGTCATAATGCAGTCTGAATTATGTAACCTGAATGCTAAACTAGCTAAATAATTCTCTTGGCAAGGAACCCTGTGTTAATGTTTCACATATTCTTGACTCCATCAAAACTTCTGAGATTTCCTCTTGCAAGTAATGTTAGTATAAACAATTATTTTTACATGTGCAATAGTAATTGTACATTGTCACATAGGAAAAAAAATGTGCCGTTTATAGTGACACAGACTGCAACATTTTTAGTACTTTACACCTTACGGTGTTCTTTCCTCCATTCCTCTGCCTTCCAGCCATAAAAGTTATGTTTCTTATCCTGTTATTAATGGGATCAGGCTGATCAAATTATCATTTCCCCATGTGGCCCTTTGCCCTAGGACCAGTGCAGCACACGCCACCGATAGCCTCAGCTCTGCACTTTGTAGTTGCTTTGCCCTTGTTAGTTCTTATAGTCTTATAATTTTATGTATAGGAGTAAACTATACTGGAATGAGGAATTGATTCTTCAGCAGAAATATGTGAGCACTGTCAGCAACTTTCCTCCTGGAGATAATGCTTATAATTGACCAAATAGTATAGGACTCTTCAAAGGAAAGGAAGGTGTCTAGCAGGGTGGAGGAAAGAGGTCAGAAAAGCCTAAAGAAGTCAAACATGTTCAAGTTATTTCTCATCATTTAATTGGGTCCCTATCCTCAATTCTTATACTTACCTGGCAAATTTAAGTCAGACAAAATAAAACACATACTAAACTGGTGGAGCTCATTGCTCCAGGAGGCTCTGGACACAGACTCCAATCAGGCAGTGCTCAAGTGTTGCTAGAAGCCAAGAGGGCATACAAGAGGGAAAATCACTCAGAATTTGCTTTGTTCCTAATTTTTTCCCCTCAAACATATGCTGTTGACCTTTCAGTAGCAGCCAATTTACTCTCCTCTTCTGAAACATCTGCACAATAGGAAGGAGGCTGAGCTGCTCCTAACCCCTACTTTGCTGAGGTCTGCACAAATCTTTCTCAGCAAATTGATTGGTTTTAAAAGGGAGAGAAAGAAATCCTATTTATTCTTTTTTTGCCTTTTGAAGTTCCCAGATATCATTTTACAAATAGCAAAGACAATTGGACCAGGTTCTTCAGCTGAAGAGCTTCAATCAACTGTGTTTGAGTCTATCTCCAATGCCACTGCCAACATGGGATCGTCTCTCACCACACCTGGTCAGTGTTTCACTGCTATCTGTGCAAAGTGCCAGACTTACAGTGGTGCCATTTTGGGCTGTGGTGGTGCAATTCAGACAGACTTTGTTTCACTTTGTCATCGAATGCATTCTGAGAAGCTGAACAATAAAAAGTAAAGCACTGAGTAACTTAAAGGGGTTCAGGTTCTTAGCTTAAACAGTGAGTCCTCGTTCTGTTGCCTCTAGTTGCATTGACTAATTGCTGAAACACTAAATTTCATTACAGGATTGCATGGTTAAGCATCTCATGGAATGTTACTGAGTGCACAAAGGAAAAAGATGATTTGAATTAAAGGGGTTTGTTTATTTTCACTTTCCTTTGTAATCTGAGTGAAAACCCTTGAATTAAAAACCTGTGAAGGTGACAAGTTTCTGTTGTGCCAAAAGATTGCACATAGTTAATCCTTTGCCAGACAGGAGCATATGGTGACTCGTCTGTTCTGAAATCTCACAGTGGTGACACTGTGATTTTTCTGTCCAAATGGACAAAGTTTCTTACCATCTAAAAGGTATTTTAATTAGCAACCAAACTAATTTATTAGTATTGAAGCTCTGTTACCAAACACAGTCTTACCAGCTCCACATAACTGACACGGTGGTTTCAATAAGGAATGAGGTTTTATGGCTGATTGGTAAATCATTAGAAAATTAGATCTTATGAAAATGGTTCTAGAATAACACTGATGCCACCAACCTGCTATTTTGCATTTCCCACAGTCAGGTGTGAGCTAATATTAATAACAGTAGCAATCACCAGTGACAGAGTTCTTACATCTGTGTCTCCACAAAGATAAAACGAAAGTGTTTCTTAAGACAAGATGGAACATGCAAGGCAAAACTTGTGAATTGTGTGTCTGAAATGCTACCAGAAAGCAGTGGCAGTGCTGGAGAAAGAATTCAGGTTTCTCACCTCCACCACTGGGATGTTATAATCTATATATAACATGGCTTTCATCACACTAAATGGATAGCAAAAGGAAAAGTGAAGTCAGATATCTAATTAGTATTTCCCTCTGTAATCACACCAATGGACCTGGTATGTTACAAATCATAAAATCAATGTTCTTTCCAAGGACACGAAGTCTTAGGTTTTCATGACGTGGGGAAGGGAGCTGCACTGTGCCTGGATGGGCAGTATTTACATGAGAAAAGCTGACCTTCTGCAGCAGGGGAAAGGGAAACAATGCACAAGAGGGAGGTGGAAAGGGAGAGCAGAACATCAGCTGGCACAGTGGAAGCTGAACAGCATTTTCGTTTGCTCAACAGATTCAGTCTTTTCAGTGTTCTACCCACTACTGCAGCTTCCTTTGATGCAAATAAATCCCTCCTCTGCCTCCTTTCAAAGTACAAATCTACTTTGTACATTCTCGCTTTAATTTATTTAGCTGGGGGAGCTTAGCTCAGGCACAGCATCTGTGAAATTCATGCTTTTTACTGGTAATGACCATATCTGAAGACATGTAGGGATTATTTGGTTTAGATAATTATTTAATAAGGTTTTTCTAAATTAGTGACAGGAGAGAGAGCAGTAAACAACCACATTAGGATTCTAATTTCTGTTTTCCATCAACATTAGAGGTAGATTATGCCAACAAAGACCAGGATTTGTTAAAACACACAATGGAAACTGTCTGGTCTGATCATGCATAGGGCCAGAACCTGACTGTAAATAAGATTTTTAAAGGCAGTTTGTCTGTCCAAACAGTTCTGTGCTAAGTGAACAACCCTCTCTAGATCCTGACATTTTAACAGCAGGCTTGACATAAAGAACAAGCCCTGTGCTCCTCTGACACATCCAGCTTCTGTCTTCACCTTGTTTAAATGTCAGGCAAGTCCTACAAGACATACATCTTTGTCAGGGCATTTCAGGGTAAAGGGACCTCTCATGTCTGTTACTTTCCCACTGAGCTGGATTCACTGTTTGAACGTGGAGTTTATTCAGCTGCAGCATTTTTTGGTGATGAAGCTATATGGAGACTTCCACCAAGGTTATCCCAAAGATTTGCATTTCACTCTCAGTGAAGCAAGGCTCCCAGCAAATGGTGGGTTTACCTCAGAGTAAGCCCTTGCCTGGGTTTTGATGCCTTTAGGGAATTAGACTTGAAGGAAACTTGCAAGATGCTGGTTATTCTTATTGCATGTGGCCAGATGTTAGTTTTGTTGTGGCATCCTGTATTGTAACTGCTCTGAAATGTATGTCTGCTCTTACTCTCTTTTCCAGCATGAACTTCCCCTGGAGTACAAAGAATAACACCAATTTCTTGCAAGTTAGGCAAATTCTAGTTTTATATCCAGGACATTAACAATGTAAATATTAAAATAAAATATTTAATTGCAAAAGAATTGATTTATCAATATCACATGATCAGCAGTTAATTATAAGTCTGTTGCTCTCTTAAATATCTATGTTGCTTTGATAGACAGGCTGAGAAAGCTGAGGCTGTTCAGCCTGGAGAAGAGAAGGTTGAGTAGAGACCTCATAGCAACCTTCCAGGGTCTGAAGGGCCTACAGGGGAGCTGGAGAGGAACTCTTTGTTAGGAGCTGCAGTGATAGGACAAGGGGCAATGGACACAAATTGAAAGAGGGGAAATTTAGGTTAGGTATTAGGGAAAAGTGTTTTCCTGTGAGGGTGCTGAGACACTGTCCCAGGTTGCCCAGGGAGGCTGTGGCTGCCCCAACCCTGGCAGTGTTCACAGCCAGGTTGGATGAGCCTTGAGCAACCTGCTCTGGTGGGAGGTGTCCCTGCCCAGGGCAGGGGGTTGGGACTAGATGATCTGTAAGATCCATTCCAACCCCTAAAATTCTGTGAGTCTGTGATTTATTTTTTTCAGTCTCCTTGACGAAAACTTGCTATTTGACTTCTTTTTTTCAGATTGCCTGGGAACCAGAGCTCCTTCTTCAGATGAAATTGTTAAATTAGCAGAAGCAAATGTGTTTTGGTCAGTTCAGGAACTGAAGTGCATGGATCCAGGGACCTTTGACAAAAATGTGGAACTTCTTGGGACTGTCTCAGGTTTTAACAGCTCCCAGCTTACTGCCTTGAAGGAAAAAGCCAAGCAGGTAACTATCCTGTCTGTGAAGGAGAATTAAATCTGTAATTTGATTTGCTGTTATTGAACTATGCAGTTCTAAAATAACTGTGCTATGTCAATGTCACTACTGCTGCAAGAATATGGTTTATTGGAAAAATAATGTGGGATGGTGATAGAAGACTATTGCTCTTGTTTGAGAATCAACAGGCAAGTAGTTGTGAGTTATTGGCAGCTGAAAAAGTTAAGTGGTTTTACTTTCTAATTGCTTTTCTACTTGCTTCTCACTTTTCTTCATAAATGAAAAATCAGCAAGCAGTACCTCAGGCTGTGGATTGCCCAAGTGAGAATTAAGCTTGACCTGTTAAACCGTCTACATCGATGTTAAATATAGTTCACAGTGGTGTAAAACCAAACTGACTGAAAGAATCTGTTATTAGCTGAGTAAGCTCATTCTCCCACCTTCTTGTCACAGGCAGGGACAGACACATCAGTGGGAAGTTTTAGGGAGGAAAAAACCCACCTACATTTAGTCTGTACCAGGAGCACACTTGGGCAGACAGCTGTGCTGGGTGCAGCTCATCACACCGAGTCTGGGGCAGAGCATCAGCACACTGTCTGGGCTCTGCCAGCACTGCCTTGGCCAGCAGTGGGCTGGGAGAGAAGTCAGACCTTGCTCCATCCCTGTTGTTGACATTGCACTCCTCCCTCAGGGTGACCTGCTCTGGCTGCTTTGTGGTTGCCTGCACTGCCAGGGAACAGGCAATGTCCCAAACATACTTTTGGTACAGCAAGGAAAAGCCTTAGGGTGCAGTAAACTGAGTTGTTTTGGCAGCATAAAACCCAGAGGTGAAGAGGTTATGATCCCCAGCCTGTCTTCAGCTTCCTGTCGCCAGCATCTGCTGGAGGTTATCTGCTCTCTGCTTCCATCTCTGCATGGCTACTCTGTAATCCCATTCTGTCAAGATGATCCAACATTTTAAAAGTCCTTTTTAAGCTCCATCAGATCATTCTGACAGAGTGAGGTTGGGAAGCTCTACAAGTGCAATTGGCTGCAAGTAGCACAAGTGCAGAGGTTTGGAGATCTGAGGCCTGTGACCTCTGCAGGAAGGCAGGAGCAGGAGACAACATGGGCCTGGGCAGCATCTCCCTAAACCAGCAGCTGCAGCCACAGCAGTGGAGCTTACCATGGATTTTGGGTAGATAAGGCTAACAGTGCAGTTTTAGCAGTGAATCTCAGCTCCTAAAACTGCAGGTGGTTGAAGAGAAGTGGCACTGAGCAGATTTCCTAAAGTAGATGGTGACTCTCTGCAGTTGTCTCTGCTGCCTTGTTGCAGCAGGACACCAGCCCACTGCAGCAAATGCATTCTTCTAAGACAGCTTCCCTCGGGTCGGCACAGAGACATGTTGGTAGGAACAGGGGAAAAAACATAATCCTAGAAGAAAATAAAAACAGTGCTCCCCTGAGACAGAGGGAACTAAAATATTTTACAGCAGTGCAACATATTGGTGCATACAGAATGGTATCTG